ATTCATAAACAACGCTGGTCTGTTAACTTTTAGAGCTGCAGCGTGCTGATGTTGTGAGCAAGCTCGCTTCTCGGCAACAGGACAGACGTGTCACAGTTTTCACCCTAGGTACTCTGAGAGTTTAGTTTGTCAAACCACTGAACAGTGGTCCAGAATGCAGATTTAGGTGGAATGATATGTTTTGAGCCTGAAATTGAAACTTTAGACTAAAAGTCTGTTGTGCAAAGTTGTTCCTTATAGTTAGGCCTAATTTTTTTGTTTGAATAAATTAAGGTATACATTCTTCGTGCCGGAAGATCTTGTATGGACCATATTGTCAAGCTCCGAATCATCCTGGAGCAGGTCAATGAATTTCAAGAGTCTCTTAATTTGGTATTCATTGACTACGAAAAAGCTTTCGACCGTCTCAATCACCAGAATCTGTGGGGCGTCCTGAGACGCAAGGGAGTCCCGGATAAAATCGTCAACCTCATCGAAGCGCAGTATGAGGCTTTCACGTGCAGAGTTCTGCATAACGGAGCCTTGTCCGACCCTATCCGGGTAGTCGCTGGTGTGAGACAAGGATGTATACTATCACCGCTACTGTTTCTCATCGTAATCGACGAGATCATGGTAGGTGCAATTGACCGTGTACCGAACCGTGGGTTGCTTTGGCACCCTATCACCATGGAGCATCTCAACGACTTCGATTTGGCTGATGATGTTGCTCTACTAGCACAACGGCGCTCTGATATGCAGAGTAAGCTCAATGACCTAGCCGAATGCTCCTCTGCGGCGGGTCTCACCATCAACGTCAACAAGACCAAATCGTTGGATATCAACACGGGCAACCCTTCCAACTTTACGGTAGCGGGGCAAGCAGTGGAGAAGGTCGAAATTTTCCAATATCTTGGCAGCCAAATAGCGTCGGACGGCGGGACCAAGAGTGACATAGGTGCACGAATCAAGAAGGCTAGGGCTGCCTTTGCGAGTTTACGAAACGTATGGAGATCCAACCAGATAAGTCAACGCAACAAAATCCGAATTTTCAACTCGAACGTGAAATCTGTGTTGTTATACGCCAGCGAGACGTGGTGTGTATCAGCGGAGAACACTCAAAAGCTTCAGGTCTTCATCAACCGATGCTTGCGGTATATAATTCGTGCCTGGTGGCCTCACAACTGGATCTCGAATCCCGAGCTCCATCGTCGATGTCATCAGAAGCCGATAGCAACAGAAATTCGAGAGTGAAAGTGGAGGTGGGTCGGCCACACACTTCGACGGGGCGGAAACGAAATCTGCAAGCAAGCGCTGGATTGGAATCCGGCAGGACATCGCAGCAGAGGCAGACCCAGGGGCTCATGGTGGCGGAGCCTCAATAAGGAAAATAAGCAAGTCGATAGGAATCTGACCTGGGCCCAGGTCAAGGCAAAAGCGAACAGCCGTCCAGGATGGAAGTCTTTCACGTTGGTCCTTTGCACCGCTATTGGTGCACAGGACCCTTAAGTAAGTAAGTACTACATTTTATTACAGTTATAATTATAGCTAAGCTAATTTCACGCAACTTTGTTGGAAATATTTTTTTTGTATCTCTTAAATTGGCTGATTTAAAGCTTTTTTGTTGAATTGAGTTAGGGTGGCTCTAAAAAAAACAGTTGTTTTGCTCTAGTTTTCTTATTTCGAATTTCTCATCAAAGGTGTCTTGAAATAACATTTAGATCTTAAAAAGGCGCAAATTTTTGTTGCACAAAGCTTGTCAATATCTTTCGGCGATCAAGAGTTATTGACGTATTTACACTAAACATATGAACTTTTCAAATGTTAATATCTTAGCTAAATCTTTTTCAAGCAACACATGTTTTTATTTTGTAAAACAAAAAAGCTAGTTTTAAAAATTCCCTAATTTGAGGACCACCCTGACATTTGCAAACACCAGTGGTACCATGAAATTCATCTTCTATAGACTTTTAAAACTCTTTAAGACGAATGTTTTATAGCAATATTTGTTGTCTGTATTTCTTCTAATAAAAAAGATATACCCAAATATAGTAAAAAATATGAATAAATTCAAGAGTTTTAAAAATAACATACCCCCATTTTTTCAAATTATTGAGAATAACATACGCTCTTTCAAATGCCGTAAAACACTTTTTTTTGTTTGTCCCAACCAGAGATATTAACATTTGAAAAAAAGCATACTTTTAGTATAAAAACGTCAATAACTCTTGATCGGCGAAAGATATTGACAAGCTTTGTGCAGCAAAAATTTGTGCGTTCTTAAGATCTAAAAGTTATTTTAAGACACCTTTGCTGAGAAATTCGAAATAAGAAAACTAGAGCAAAACAATTGTTTTTTTAAGAGCCACCCTAACTCGTTTCAAGGTGCTTGAAATTAGCTCAGCTATAACTTTGCCGATGAATGTATACCTTAATTTATTCAAACAAAAAAGTTAGATTTTTGATTTTAGTGATAATAGGAACCACCCTAGAGCTCATTGTCACAAAAATGAGGGCCCAACTATAAGGAACAACTTTGTAGAAGAGACTTTTAGTCTAAAGTTTCAATTTCTTGCTCAAAACATATTATTCCACCTAAATCTGCATTCTGGACCACTGTGCACTGCAATATATTGAACCATACTAAATTTTGGGTTATTCTGTATTTATACAGATTTATGAATATTTATTTTTTATTTCTTCAAAATTATGACGTAAAGCCACTTTTGAAGTTTTGAAATACACATAAATTAAAGTCACAATGAGGGTATTTAAAGACCAATAAGAAAGTGCGTTTCAATCGATTTTGAATTAATTAATTAGAGACATCTCTCCACATCTCGATGTTCTATATGTTGACAGTATGTTGACAGTTATCTCGATCCTTCCAAACGGAATAAGCACCGTTAATACCTTATTCGTTACAAAATGTTATCACCTAAAGAAGCTTAAGTAAAATATCATATTTTTAAAGGACTTTTACTCTTCCCGCAATTACTTTTCTAAAACAGCATGGAAATTTTCTGATGACGTCCTGAAAAGTCTGGAAAAACTCACGACATGTAGTGTAGAAAAAAGCCACAGTCACACTTTTGCCAAATAATTAAAGATGAAGTGGACTTTAGGCTTAATAATTTGACATGTATTAAATCAATCAATACTCAATGGGTATAAAACGTGATTTCACTACTACTGTGTTACCTGACTTATAACGAATATACGTTGTATACGAAAACCAACGTATCCCAAGTAACATTTCAAGTTTTACCGTGGTTTTAAAGTGTTCTACAAGTCATGGTCTTCAGAACCCTCATAAAACCCAAATTGATACTTGGGATGACTCGTCTAATTTTGCATGGCATTTGCAATGTAAAATTAGACGAACTATACGTTGTATACGGAGTACTCGTATGCAACGTATATTCATTATAAAGGGTGCGTGACGAATTTTTGCAGTAAATGGCATATTTGAGAAAAAATACACCAGTAAGTTATTCTAGCAATGAATTTTGTGCGATTTATTTTCTTTCGCAACAAATGGAAGTTGTAAGTAAATTTATTCAAAAAAATTGCCTTCCCTTTCGACGACTGTAGTTAGACGCTTCCGGAAACTGCAGTATGCACGTTTTAAAATGTTTCGATCCATAGATGTCATCACTGCCTTGATTTTAGCTTTAAGCGACTTAAGTGTGGTGTGAGGGGTTCTATTGGTATCCCGTTGGACGACGCCCTATACAAAATAATTCAACGGATTGATATCGGGACTGTTTGGGGGCCAAATTTCTTCCTCCCAAATTTACGAAATATTTTCCGTAAGCCATTTCTGTGCTTTATGAGCAGTATGAGCAGGTGCTCCGTCTTATCACTTTCCCAAGCCTTTTTTAATATTATACACTGTTCTTTCAGACACATTTACCGACCGAATTATTTCTTTCATGCATACTCCGGCGCGCAACAAAGCGACAACGGCTGACAGATTGCTCTCTTGTTTCGACATATTTACGTTTACTCAACATTGTTTGTTTAAATCTTACACCTAACAGTATAAGCTATCCAGTGCTGCCAAATATATCTAAATCATGATGCACAAGCATTAGAAATTACTATTTGAAATTTACTGCAAAAATTCGTCACGCACCCTGTAAGTCAGGCAACAGAGTAGCTTTCTGGATCCTTTGCGAAATCACGCGGTTGATTTTTGATTTTTGCTTATCAATTTAGGTTATCATCGATACTGAATAAGAACAGCAGTCAACGGTTTTATCAGTTCATAAACTAATCTTTATTAGAATCTATGGTATGCTTACGAAAAATAATAGCTCCTAGATTTTCGTATTTGATTGCTAACATAAGAATTTAAACGGTGCACCCGATTCTGTTTTTACATGACTTTTTTTGCCTCTATTTTTGATCGTGTGATTCAAATTTGATACAATTCATTTCAAATAATCGCAAAATCATAATAAAAAAATATGGTGATATTAAAAATGCTGAACACAATCCAAAAAATGCGTTAAATTATAATTGAGTGTATAAATTATAAGGAATCAATATTTTTATTTAAATGACTGCTAAGTAGATTGCATATTGAATATCTTTCAATGATATCTACATGCCTAAAAACAAACATTTAAGATTAACACATTCAATAGATTTTTTGGCTGCATTTACATTTTAGATTGCTCAGGACAATCGAATTAACGTCCTGAAGTAAAATCTCATGCTAATGTTTACAGTATTTCAATGCAATGACCCTTGTGTAATATAGGTATTTGTTTTTTTTTTGTGTGACTTACAATCTGCCATATTTGACGACAATTTAATTGGCATCAAACACTTAAGGTCCAATAGACTAAAATATTCATAATCTTTGGACACCACAGGTCCATTGCCATAATCAAGACATATGTTGTAACTGTTCACAAATAAATACTGTATCACTTTCCAATTTTTATAAGACAGCATTAAATGCCGAATTTCCTTATCACTAGATAGACATTGTTCCAGCGTGCCATCACACATCTTTAGGATGCTGAGTACTGCATCTTGTCCGATTCGCTCAAATTGATGTTGGCGTCATCGCCGTTTGCTTGATCCTCGGAAATCTTGAACTGAATCAGCACAATCAAGTAGGTCGTAATCGATGAAGCAATCTAGAAAAAAAAATCAATCTTTTCATAAATCACTGCAAAGCTTCCCCCAAGTCTCACTTACCCCGGAGATAACGGACAAGTCAATCGGAAACAGTCCGTACGCATTGAATTCCAGTGGGTTGCTACTCATAAAGGAAATCAAATCATCAGCCTACAAAAAAAAAAAAAAAACACACACAAATCAAATGCCTTCAACTGTGCAATCAATCCCTGCAGCGACCGACTGACCCTGCTGCGGAACTCCTCCTCGTTCGATTTGGACTTCATGAAGAACACATAGTTGATCACATTCTTCCACTTGAGCCGGACGTTTTCGCCGCTGGTGAAAAGCGACCAAAACTCTACCCCGTGCAGGAACAGCATGCTGCACGCGGCCAGGGCATAAATCTCCGAGCGGCTCTGGGTGAATCCCGACTTGATGTGATTGAGCATGTAGTACAGCTGCACGGTGACGCAGATGAACGCCGACAGGAGCGAGAAGATGGCCTGCTTCCCGAAGCATTCGTTTATTTTCGTGGCCAGCTCTTGCAGGTGTTCTACGATTTCCCGGGTGTTCTGGATCGTCTCCACCGGACTGATGGGCCGGATTTTGATGTTACCCACCGTGGTGACCCGGCTCAGCTTCTTGTCCACCATGGAGTTTTGTTTGCCCATGCTGGCCAAATTCAGCGATTTGAACTGCTGCTCCATTCCGAATCCATTAGGAAAATTGCTGAAAGGGAGGAAAATGGCGCATCAAGGCGGGTACTTTGGGGACGGGAAAGGGGAACAGATGGAACAATAACAATTACTTCATTCCCTTCAGCAGCAGAACCGATCGATCGGACAGGAACATTATGCAACCAGCGAACTGGAAGTTGAACAGCAGCAGACCGAGCTGTGGGGCGTACGGTAGAATGGAAATGAAAACAGTGATTCGGAAAATTAACCGGCTTCCATGTGGTCCATTTCCCATTGACCCAAAAGTGCAACATGCACGAGTGCGATAGAGAAAGTTTGATAGAAATGAAAGATCTGCTTTAACGTGCTGAAAATCATCGACATTAAGTTTTGCTATACAGAAGCCACACAGTTACATCATTCAAAATTAAACACCAAACAAAAGAGTGCCAATTTGGTAGGATTTTATCTGCATCGGGCCTCACTGTTCGTGTTTCGGTGAACTCAGAATGTCGAGACATGGCCCTATACGGTTGAAGTAATTCGCATTTTTATTTGCCCTCTGTTACTATGGTGGCCGGCGGCCTACAAACCAGTTGTGGTAATTAACTTCATGTGCCATAAAATGGCAATTTTCTCAACCGTGATGGCACATGTGGGAGTTGTACAAATTCGAAGCGAATGGCAAAAAGCCAATGTTCGGTTCGGCTGAATGTGTTTTTGGTCGACAAATGAAAAAATAAACAGCAAGCGACAGCTGATTTTTTTCGGAGTTCGTTCATTTAAAGTTAGCCATATGACAAAGCCTTCAGATGGTTTTCAATATTTTGTTTGTTTCATTTGGACTGAATTATTTATTCCTTTATATGTATTTCCTTCTATTTATCAGTAAACATTTTTTTCTACACGCAAACCAAAAATCTATTACAATGAATGTTAGTTCCATTTCCTATCATCCTCTGTTCATGAACATCGCAGCGAATGTTAGAAGTTGACCTTGCAGGCGATGTAATGGTTTTTTGCCTTTTTTATTTCGTGTTCTGTCTGTGCTTTCACCTACACAAGCAAGCATTTGCCTTAATTTTTATGTATAACATGGTAGAACAACGCACACCCTTGCCTCGAATCTCTCCAGCAGAAAAAGCATACGAAGTCGAGTGTGAGAGGAAATGAGCGCTTCTTGTTTGCTTTTAGGCAATCCTTATTCAGAAGCATGGAGAGAGCAGTAGAAAAAGCACAGGTCTGATAATCGCAACGTTCGTTGTTCGAGTCCAGTCGGCAACCTTTTTCTTATTTTTTTTTCGACATAATTAATTTACCTCACTAATACACTCTACATTTTTCGGTCTCCAATTTTCTTGCATTGGACCGCAGCTAGGTATATCGCATCCTTAGTTCATGCGGTCTCCACTTACATCCTGTGATGATGAATCCCACATAATTGTAAGCGAATCTTCCATCCACCGGTTGGGTGATAGATGTTCTATATCTCCCTATTTTGATGGTTTGGGCAGTTCCATCAGAATCACATTCATCAAGTTCTCTATCACACTTTGATTATTTTACAAGAGTTAGTACTTAAACTAAACATGTTTGTATTACTTAATGCGTGAAGTTTACGATTTACATAGTTGGAGATGCTTAACGTTAAATATCAGGCTTAAAGTGGTCATTTTTATACAATAGATGAAGAGATGAAAGTATTGATTTGAGCTAGTTCCGTTGGAGCACGACACTGTGAAAATTGTTTAAAGAGAGTAGAAAGCGAGCAAAAGGTCAATTGTGAGGAGGGTACGAATCGGGTTGATCATCTCCTTTACCAAACCAACCCCTGTCATTGTTCGAAAAGTACAGTAGTAGCACCTCCCCTACCCGTGTCTCCTTGAGATCGTTAAGTTGACGCACATACAAGGCAACAATAGCTGCAATCAGGGTGCCTTCCATTTATTTTGACTAAAAAAATGTCTTAGAAAATTATGGAATAATAAGATATTATGGTGGTATTTTGTATGTGTAAGGAACAAGAAAAGATTTTAAAGTTTGTGTTTGACACATAAAACCTGCACATTTAGCTTTGACAGAGCCACAATGAGCGATTTTCTGATCGCCTCTTCGCGAAGAGTGAAGAGCGAAGAGTGGGTGAGATAAATGACAAAATTGCTTATTGCCACTCTCATGCAGCAACATTGGCTGGTATTATGTGTCAAACACAAACTCCACAATCTTTTCTTGTTGCTTACAAAAACAAAATATTATAATAATATCTTATTATTCCATAATTTCATAAAACATTTTAATAGCCAAAATGAATGGAAGGAACCCTGGCTGCAATTTCCAAACCTATCGACTAGATTCTAACGTCAGATGGCGTCTTGAATATGAAATAATCGATAGAATTGATGCCACACATCAAAGGTACAGTGTAATTTCTGACCATTGTAAATTTTGACAAATCAGTCTCTTTTGAAAAGTGCCTGTTTTTGTTGATTTTCACGTGTCAAACTACCGTAGAAACACTCATGAATTTCAGCTACAAGAAATCAGTATGAATTTCATAGATTTGCCATATGAAAAATAATGATGACGAAAAATAATAAATCGAAGCAGACTGGAACCGAACCATGGACGTTGAGATTACGGAGCTCGTGTGTTGACCACTCGTCTTTGAACGCTTGAGGAAATTGAATTGCTAAAGGCGTAGCTACCTTATGTTAGACGAAAATCTTTCATAAGTCGCGCTTATGAAATTCATATTTGTCGTTCATAAGTCGAGTCTTATGAAATTCTTAAGTCTATTTTCCTCAGTATATGTTATAACCTTATATCGGAACAAATTTAAAAAGAATTTTAAAATGTGAAATTTAAGATAAGGCCAATTTGACGACCACTAGGGCCAAAAACTGGTACACCTCTAGTTACGTTTCTAGATTTCTTAGAAAAAAAATCAAATTTTCATAATTGTCCACAGAATATTTCATGACACTCTTAAGTTGACTTACTAATAGCACAGTGAACAATATTATTCATAAAAAATGTTAGTTTCATTACACATATTTAACGCAAATATAAAATCATCGAATTGTTTGCATTCAATTACATTCACTTATCGCAATTTACTTAATAAATCAGGTCAGCCAGGTCATAGAGACTAAGAAATATTACATCTGTAAATATGCAATATTACTGGATAATAACCCTCTTGGTTGGCTTCTGATCGGCTGAAAATACTAGTTTAAAAATAACCTGTGATAAGCCCCCTGTAGAGCTAGTCTAAAAAATTAAGGTCGCCTTACTCAGTCCACTTGGGCTACAAAATGGTGAGTTGACAACCTGGAAGGAGCGGAATACCTAGTCCTGATCCTCACAAGTTCCTACTTCACGCCTCCTCGAGTCATATGATAACAAAATACTACCAGCTGAAACATGGACACAGCTGGTTGGCGTAGCCTGGGCAATGTTGCCAGTCCGGCAATAGCAAAGTGAAGAGGTGCGGCGCGAACACTGGCGCGGTAACCAGAGTACGGTGATAGAGGAAATGCTTTACCAAACCTGAGCGTCTGCTCACCATGGAGGTGCGGCTCAAAACGGCGTCTGTTCTCCATGTTAGGAGCGGCTGATCACCGTCCTAGTGCCAGCGTGGGACTCTAAATAGAGCTGTGCACGATAGTCCCCCGGCGAGACAGGGGGTTGGGGCAGGCCCAACAAGCCGCCCTGGAAAAAAAACAAAGTTGCAAATACCGAAGAAAGAAATACGGATCGGAACAATCGGCACAGACCTACGCGACGAAATAAGGACTACGACTGGAAACTCGGAACATGGAACTGCAAATCGCTCGGCTTCCCGGGTTGCGATAGGTTAATCTATGACGAACTTCAACCACGCAACTTCGAAGTCGTAGCACTGCAGGAACTTCGCTGGACGGGACAAAAGGTATGGAAAAGCGGGCATCGAGCGGCTGCTTTGTACCAGAGCTGTGGCACCACCAACGAGCTGGGAACCGGCTTTGTAGTGCTGGGTAAGATGCGCCAACGCGTGATTGGTTGGCTGCCGATCAACGCGAGGATGTGCAAGTTGAGGATTAAGGGCCGTTTCTTCAACTACAGCATCATCAACGTGCACTGCCCACACGAAGGGAGACCCGACGACGAGAAAGAAGCGTTCTATGCGCAGCTGGAGCAGGTGTACGACGGCTGTTCGCAACGGGACGTCAAAATCGTCATCGGCGACATGAACGCTCAGGTAGGACGGGAGGCAATGTATAGACCGGCAATCGGGCCAAACAGCCTGCATGCCGTATCGAACGACAACGGCCAACGATGCGTGAACTTTGCAGCCTCCCGGGGTATGGAGGCAAGGATATCCACAAAGCCACCTGGAGATCACCTGACCAACACACAGAAAACCAAATCGATCACGTTCTAATCGACAGAAAATTCTTCTCCGACATTATCAACGTCCACACGTACCGCAGTGCGAACATAGATTCGGACCACTACCTAGTTGCAGTATGCATGCGCTCAAAACTCTCGACGGTGTATAACACACGTCGAAGACGAACGCCACGACCCAACATTGAGCAACTACGGGACACCGGAGTTGCCCAGGACTACGCGCAGCAGCTGGAAGTTGCACTACCCACGGAAGAGCAGCTTGGCGCAGCTTCTCTTGAAGATGGCTGGAGGGACATCCGTTCAGCCATAGGTAGTACTGCTGCAGCGGCACTAGGTACTGCAATCCCGGACCGAAGAAATGACTGGTTTGACGGCGAATGCAAACTGTTAGTAGAGGAGAAGAATGCAACACGGGCGAGAATGCTGCAACACCACACGAGATTCAATGTGGAGCGATACAGACAAGCGCGGAACAGACAAAACTCGGTTTTCCGAAGGAAGAAGCGTCAGCAGGAAGATCGAGATCGCGAGGCGATGGAAAATCTGTACCGCGTAAACGACACACGGAAGTTCTACGAGAAGCTAAATAGTTCGCGCAAAGGCTACGTGCCGCAAGCCGATATGTGCAAGGACTTGGACGGTAACCTTCTCACGAACGAGTGTGAGGTGATTGAGAGGTGGAAGCAGAACTATGACGAGCACCTCAACGGTGAAGCAGCAGAAAACGAAGGTGGCACGGCAACAGACCTTGGAGCACGCGCAGAAGACGACAGGCTACCGGCCCCTGATCTTCAAGAAGTTGAGGAGGAGATCGTTCGGCTGAAG